GTACTATAGCATATTCCTCTTGCCCTACTGTGTATGCTATTATAGTACCTTTGTATTGATAAACTGGTTGTATTTTTAGTGATCTTGGCAATGGAGACTTAATGGTCCCCAGTGAGTTCTCAGGGACTCCTTCTCTGTGTCTCTATGTCCCTTATGGACAGTCTAGATTCCCATCTGAGTTCAGCTCTGTGAAATTTTCCTTGCTGTTACAACATTGAGAACTTTTCTATAAAATGTCTCAGTCATCCTCTCTGATACCAGTAATGCAGGAGTGCCCGTAGCATGTAGATGTGAAGTCCAGGTGACTGGACAAAGTATAGGGTGTTGAGGTCTGTCCTGTTGGAGTGCAGACCCTGGAGTGTGCTACCCCATGCAAAGTTCAGCTGGGGCTTTTCTCTGCCAGCAGCAGCTGGATCACCTCAAATCTGGTGCATTGCTGTGGTGTGCTTAATCATGTAAGTAATTTGTGTGGCTGGCGAGTTCACTGTGAGCCACTGCTGTATCATCTGGTAACCATTTAATCTATACTAGGGAGGAGTATGAATCGTTTTTCTTAAATGATATGCTGTGGTAGGACTAGTTCTTGAAGTTGACGCCTTTCTAAGAGGAAGAAAAGCCCCTGTATTCCTCCTTGTACTTTTCGGGGACTGTAAGTTCTGCTAATGAGTTTGGAATGAATAGTACCCATCCATCTGGTTAGTAACTGTTTCTGTTAAAAGCATTAGATGCTTCCATGTGCTGTATGTTATACCCAGATATGTACAGAGACAATGGTAAATACAACCAATACCATATCTTCCACTTAGTGTCTGTGTAATACCTTAAGCGTGCATGACATTTTACAGAGGAAAGTATTTTATTCTTTACTCCATAGAACTTACCATCCTTATTAGACTTAATACAATAAATACAGTGCACAGAAGGCTGTAATATCGATAAACAATGTTGAAAAATCATACTGCACTTGCTGTGTGCCACATTCTTCTCGAAACTGTACAGTAAATCTGGAAATTCAGGTTCTTTGAACTGTTCAAAAGAAGTTTAAAGATGATGGGCTGGGATGAATTCTGTTTCTTTACCAAAACCCACCAAAAATCATTTGGTTAACTGTGTTTTGTATTAAACCAGTCTGTACAGAGAAACTCAGATCAGGAATTTAAAGCTGAGCAAAAGTATTGTTTTTGCACGACAAAAAAAACTCCATTCAGTGCTCAGTAGTCATTGAGAAGGCTAGAAGGAGATAAGAGGGAAGGCTATTTGTTATGTGCTTCCCTCCCCCTTTTTTTTTCTTGTACTCTATTGAAAAGACCTGCCAGTTTGACAAATACCATCAGCAAGAAAGGAATTATTATATCTCCAGCCCTCAAGGGTTTCTTATCTCAAAACCACCCTTTATTATGGTTTTATGGTTTTCCTTTGGCATTAAATCCCACTTTTTCTTAAATAAATTTCTAAGTACAGAAAACACTACGTATTTATATATATATTTGTAAAAATATGAAAAACAGTGTGCAACACTTTCCAAGATCAGATGAAAATTTAGTTTGTGTTTTTTAGTTTCCTTTGCTATCAAAGGCATACAAGCTCAAGCATGCTATTTCTGTTAACGTGCAATGACTTGCTGCTGTAAGAACTTAATTTTAAAGTATAATAGCAAGATTTCACTGTCAGCTGTGGTGTTAAAATGTCTGGTTTTTATAATTTTTAAAATGGAAATATTTTCTTGAAATAGAAATTGAGTTCATGATTGTTGATCACCTATTTCCAATAAATAATATTGCTCTTAGTCATGCATTCTTACATAATTCAAACACCGTGGAGGCATCAAATGCCAGTGTTATGCTGGGATATGGGGAACATACCACTTTTATATTTATTACTACTCCTACCTTCATCTGGACCTTGTGATCATCATAAGTAATTATTTGGGGCCCTAGTACTGAGATCTCTTTTGTTTAAACAGGACAACATCTGTCTGGTATGTAGGTACTTTCACCATTTTATTTAAGTAAAGAAAAAAGAACAATTGTGAAATGATACCGTATTTTGTCATAATATAATGTTAACAATGATAGTGACAGAAGATAGAAGTTGAGCAAGATTTTGGGGAGGCATTGGTCCTGCCAGTGACTTAAACTTACGATACTTTCTTTTTCTTCAAACTACTAAATTCATTCAGAGTCCACCATCTGATGTTGAAATTATTGCTGTTTGGACCCCCTGTGTTACTCTGGTAATAATGTGCTTTTAGTTTCTGTTTCCAGTTTATAAAAAGATGCAACTGATTGACGCATCGCAGCCACAGTCTCACTCAGACTCTCTCTGTGGGCTCAGGCTGTGGTTCTGTGGAAGCCTAAGTCAGTCTAGCAGCGAGTTACTGCAGTTTTGCCCATAGCCATGCCGTCCTGCCCCCTCTCATCTGCCGAGTCCACCCTTGTGTGACCTCGCACTCAGCTGTTTCAGCACGTATGCTAACAGGGTGCTAACTGGACAAACTGGTGCTATGAATAATTTTCTGCATTAGAAATGCCAGAATGGCAGCACAAGCAGAGATGAACTGTTCTGGCAGTGGGATCGTGAACAGGACCAGTGTAGCCAGCAGTGAGTGACTTAGGCTCTGTATGACACCAGCCTGCAGGGCAATTTGTCCCTCTTGGATTTCCTAATATCCATTTTTGTTGTTTTAAGCTGGGGAGGGAGGAGGGGTGTTTGGGTTTCTTTTTTATTTTTAACTTTAAGCAGACTTCATTGAAATATGTGGTCCGAGGGTGATATTCCTCTGTTTTTAATCAAGTCTATAACTTCCATAAATCATTCCAAATTTTAAAATTAAGTACACCTTATTTAGGTGGGGCTGTCGTTGGAATCTTACAGGTAAATGAATTCAGCAATATTAGGTAAAAACCTACCTGCATTAAGACTCTGCAAACACCTAGGTTTTGGGTGAGCTCCCCACAGTCTTGCTGTATGCCAGGGACCTTTTCTGACTGATGATCTTTATAGGACACTTCTGCTTTGTGGTACTAACTCTGACACTGCAGCTTCTACAGGTTTGTACTCTGTCCACTTCTGTGTATTACGGAGAGTATGCTAAGCAAAGAGGTCTTTCTTTTTGTGTGTGTGTGTGTGTCCAAATCGATAGCTTTGCCACTGGTTTGAAAGAGAGTATTACCTTATTATTCTGGTTTCAAGGCCTTCTGTTAAGGCAAAATGCAAGTAAGTTTTCATGGAGAATATCTGAAAGGACAGTATAATTACCAAAGACCTAAATATACGTGTGTGTGTGTATACATATATATAAAAAAAATAAAGCCACACTTTTATTTGGACTAAACTGGAGAGGTCTTTCTCCCTGTAACTCCTTTTTGACTTTGGATGTAATCCTTATCTTTTTGTGTATAGCAGGATTTTTTTTTAAATGAGAAAACTGTAACCCTCTGTCTGATATGAAAGTTTTCCTGAAAGTTTACCTTACCTGTCTCCAAAACCTGTTTTGCCTGCTGTGTAAAGAAGTGCTTTCTTTGCTGCATTTTAAAGGGATTTCCTTGAAGTTTCAATCTCTAGGTTCTCCCTGTTTCTGTTACTGTGCGATTTGAATATTTGAAGTCAGTAAAGCTCGAGTAGGAAATGATGAAGAAAGGACTGATTGTTCTGAAGAGCTAACATCCCAGTCAGGACCGGAAAAATGAAACCCCACCAAAACCACATGTGTAAATGCTTCTACAGCAGTACTAGAAGAAATGTGATTGAACAGTTAATTTGATGTGAACATACTAATACAATTTTAATCTTGAATACTTGGTGAAAGGAAAGTAATTGGTAGCATGCTGAAATCAAGATACCAAAAGTAAGATGATAATGAGATGGGTTGCAAAGCTGGAGGAGTCATACTTTATCTTAAAACGCTTACAAAAAGAAATAAGTTCACAGTCCTAGATGTTCCATGGAATACGTATGAATTTAAATCCTGTGGCTAATCTGAGGGCCTGTAATGGTAGGGCAATATTACTGGTCACTTGATGGCAATGATGGCAGTGGTTGTTGTTGTGGGTGTTGATACAGGCTGTGAAGGCTGAGAACTGTGTAATAAAGGGATGCTTCTGTGAATGTCATCTGCCCTTGATACATGCCATCATAAATGGGTGTTGCTGACAGGTTCTTGGAGCACCTACTCAACAAATGTATCTAAAAGGAGTACCTGTTGATTTATTCTTGAGCAATGCAAATACAGCTTGTCAGATCTAGTGACTGCAGTGTGCTCTAATCCTGCAGTTTCTAGAAGTTTAGAAGGATCTTTGTGCGTGTTAATCCTTTCTCCAGAAAATCTATGTTATGCATTTAAAAGGGTTATCTACCTAAAAATCCAAAGCCTACTTAAAAAGAAATTAAGAGAAGGACCAAAAATTACAAAATGGCATTAATGGAGTATGTTGCAAGACTGATAGTGTGTATATCACTGATCTGTGATACACATTGATAAATGCGTATCACTGCAAATAAAGCCTCTAGGAGGATCTTATGAAGTCTGAATAAATAACGTATTTGAATAGCAGCATAAAGCAGATTATTAGGTTTAGAAAAAACATCTTAGCTTTCACCTAGTGACAACAGGAAAAAAAAAAGTCTGTAAAATCCTACTGATTTTGCAGAACAATTTAAAAAACTCTGGAAACTAATATTCAGAATGGTTTTAAATGTGTCAGTCAAATTTTGTTTCAGAGTTCTTGAGACCACTAGGTAATGAAGGCATGTTAAGAACATTTGGCAGTCATGAGGTATAGTTGGTCTGTTTTTACAATGCAGACAGCAGGGGTTACTTGCACTGATCCCTCTGGGAAAGGAGCATAAATAGGCAATAAAGTTAGTTGATAGTTAAAATACGAAAGGGTTTCTGATAAAACACGAAAGGGTTTCTGATAAAATCTGGTTTGCATATATTTTGCAAATTTATAACTTTTCAATTTATTTAATGTATGTTTTCATGTGCTTTTATCTTTCAGCTTGTGATGAATGGAAGACTTTACCAAAACCTAATCTGCATCGAGATGTCAACAGATTTGGTCACACTGCTGTTGTCAGTAATGGGTAAATGAAGTGTCTTTTAACTTTTCCTGGCTGTTTTTCTGAATGAAAAAACTGTGGCAGAAATTATACCTATGTGAAATATGGTTCAATGGCACACAACTGATCTAATTTATTAACACAAAGTAGTGCTCATCAGGGTCTTTACTTGTCTTAGGTAATCAGTACAGCTAATCATCAATCTGACGTCGTGCGGAATCTTTAGTGACATTTTATATGAACCTTCTAGTGTACTAGGTGTTTCCTCAGTATTGTGAACTACAGTGAGTTTGAAATTCAGTACCAACTATAATCCTCACGTAGATGTGATGGGAGAAATCTTTTTCTCTTTGCGGCATGCTGTAATTCCTTCCTCTACAATCAAAAACATGTAACTAAAATTTGCTTGGAAAAAGCAAGATTTTGACCATGCTGATACAGTCACCATCATTAACCACTTGCAGGAAAAAAAGCCTGCCAGCGCCTAGACTCTATTAAGTATGTTGCTTGTCCTCTAGAAAATGTAGCATACTTTCATGTCATTTGTTGTGTAGAGGAGCTCAGTATAGCTTCATCGTCTGGAAACAGGAGATGGAGTGGATCTGGAGTTTTCTGGATTTGGTGGCTGAACTCTCTGCTTCCTCCACTCCAACCCTCAAAGATGCGCCTTACAGGACAAAAGTCTCCTTTTTAGTGGAAGAGTGTGGAAAACTGTGTCAGATTTAAACAAATTTCTGCTGTTTGCTTGTGTCAGTTTTACCATTGCTGGTTGGCAAATGGCCTAATCTGGCTGCTGGAGTACTATAGATCATTGTACTGCTGATCATTCCTCTTCTACATTGTTAATCATGATAATAAACTCAGTGTTTAAGTAGATGCGGGCAACATATAGGTCCTCTACGTATGGATATTGTATAGGTCAGAAATAATGGAAGCGATAAGTAATACTACAAATAAGAGTTTGGCTGATTTTAACAAATACAGCATTAAGTTGTAACTCTGTACACAGCACTTGAAATTAATCAATGATCAGATTACTTCATTAAGAGAAAATTGCTTGGAATTAATGAATTCGACAACGTAGTTTTTTATTCTGATTTGTGTTGTTTTAAGACATAAGCTATGTCTGATGCTTTGAGAACTGTCACTTTTGATGAATTAGATTCAAGGTGAAATCTCCCAAACTTAATGGTATTTTTAGTAGGGTTTTATGTACAAAAAAAGTGTAATATGAGATACTCTCCAAAGCTTTCTGCTATTGATAACTGTATGATATATTCTGTTTTAAGGGTATATGATATCACAGATATAAAAGTTCTTTATTATTGTCTTGTTGCCTAAGTCTGTTCTTAATTTTAAATGAGAAGGGCAAGATCTCAAGTCTAGTCCTCTGGTTCTGATGTCATCAGTTACTGTACCAGAAATGTTACCAAAAAGAAATATCCATCTGCCAATTATTACTGTCTGTCTTTGAAATCTTCTTGAAGAAAAATGTTCTCATTTCCTGCAGCCCATTATTTCATGCTCTGTTCTCATTATCTAACTCCAAAAATGAGTAGTTTCCTCCATAGCTCTTCTTTCTTCTTTCCAGACATTTGGTATATGTCACTCACTAATACATGTAGCACAGTGCACTTTGAGCAGTTTCTTTTTTCGTTAGTGTAAACTCCCATGGAGAAATACATTGAAAAGCTTATCAATCTTTATAATGGAACCTCTGACAGAGTCTTTATTAGAGAGAGGTGAAGAAAGTTTTTTTTTTTAATAATATTGTGGGTTTTTTTATTGAATATCATGACAGATAAGAAATCAAGAAAAAATTCATATAGCTACAGTAACAGTTCCATTTACTTGCTTTTCCTAATAGGTCCATGTATATATTTGGGGGTTTTTCAAGTGTTCTTTTGAATGACATCCTTGTGTACAAGCCTCCAAACTGTGAAGCATTCAGAGATGAAGAACTGTGTAAAAACGCTCGTCCAGGGATAAGGTGTCTGTGGAACAAGAAACATTGTGAATCCTGGGAATCTGGACATGCTAATAATATCCTTAGAACAAAATGTCCGAAGAAAACACGTAAGTGAATTCTAGTCTTACAGTGTCAGATCTGCAATGTGATGTAGGAGATATGGGGGTGGGGAGCGAAACCCAAATGCCCTGGCCCCCACCAAACAACCAGGTGGAACTAGTGATTGGACTGTTAAGATTGTTCCTCTTGGGAATACCCAATGCAAGAGACTTACAGATTAATTTTAAAATTTATTCAATTCTAGATTTTTTTTTTTTAAATTTTATTTTAAATGCAGGGAAGTAGGTGCAAAAGAGCACAAGTTTAAGGTGCTAAGGGGTACAAAACATAAGAGGATTGAAAGAGAAGAATTCACAAGCATAAAATGACTTTAGATTGGATTTGGCTCAGTGTGTCTGAAGCATTTATAAAAGGGTGAGCTTTGAAATATTGTAACTGAATTCATTTTTCTCTTTCTCCATCTTCTGCTGTTTCAGGATACACACACACATACATATATCTGTTTTATTTTTCTGAGTCCAAGAAAGCATAACAGTCAGAGCACAGAATGAGCACTGCAAGTGATATCTGGCATTACAGGCATATGGCTCTCTCATGGCTGTATGTACTAGTGAGAGAGAGGGAAAGCATCGCTGCTTCAAGTAAATTACCTATCAAACAGGAGCGTAGTACAGTCACAGCTGGAAACAAACTTGAGGCAAACCAGCCCTTTGCTGCAGTGTGTCAAAATGGGTTCAAGTTTGTCATGTGAATTTCTATGCAGTGTTGTGATAGCTATATTGTTTCAAACCGCAATTTAGCGTTATGAATAACTGTTGCACCCTATTCCTAAGTATTTTGGCTTGTCACAAATAAATTGCTTATGAAAGTGGTGTTCTTGTACTTCACATGAACAGAATATGCACTTCTGCTACATACACCTACTATTTTTCCTGTGCATCTTTCAGCACAGTATAAAATTGCTGACCAAACTTTGGCTGTGTGTTACAGGTTGAGCTGCCAGTCTACTTTTTAATGTTTGTTGAAAAATTATTAGCGCTGCTATTAATCAATGCTTCAAGACAGCTTATTTTTCTGTTAGCTTTTATTTGTTTCTGAACCGGATATAAGGTTGCAAACTTGGAAAAAAAAAAAAAAAAGGTTCATTATATAACAAAAAGGGTATCCAGGTAAAGCTTTCTAAAGAACTGCTGTTGTACAGCTTCGTAACATTTAGGAACCTAATCTAGAGAGTTCTAGCTCTTTATAAAAGAATTATCTTGAGACTCTAAATTCGAAAGTAATGCAGATGAAAGTGGATCTTATAAAAAGCTGATTGTATCAACAGGTGTTTAAATAAACAAAACAAAGCCCAGACAGGCTGAAGGAAAAGAAAAAAGAGCAGTTCCTAAAGTACAGCTTCTGCAGTGGGAATGAACTACAACTAAACTTGCAAGAGATGAGGTGTGTAGAATTCGAGTTCTGAAGAAGTTGCGTGGACAGCACTACTTCCCTGCTGTCAAATCAGTTTCAGGTGGTAATACTCTGCCAAAAGGCTATTTTTCATACTCTTTCACACTACTTGGCTCAATTGTTATCTGATTGAGAGTATCATCTGAGAAATTGCTGATAGGCAATATTAAAGGATAAGCAGAAATTTTAGTAGGTTTTCAAAGACCAATTTTTGGATAGCAAGACTTCCCTGGCAAAAGAATCTTAAACTTGCACAATCCCAAGACTAAAGAACCCAAACTGCACAGGAGTTAAACACGGTAATTGGTGTAGGAGGTGGTAAGGATTCTATTTTGGGTCATGGTGATTTTATTAAATTTTTGCCTTCTTTAAGCAGAAGTAATAATTTGTTTTAAATAACATAAATTTTAGTCCAAGTCCTGAAGGCTTGTATTTAAGGATTTAACATGAACTCTTCCTCAAGTATTTTTTTTGTAGAGAAAGAGCAGAACTGTAACTTACCAATCATTTGGTTTATTCATTAATCTATAAAGATTTATTCATGTGTTGCTAACTTCTGTCTTGGATTGTTTTTTTAATTTTTTTATTTACTGCTTTTACTTTTGCCTGCTTGCATAGCAATCTATTACTTTTATCAGAAACCTGCATCTGAAGAAAATCTTTCTTTAAGGAGCGAAGAATGAATAGTTTAAGAAACTTTGTGATACTTTTAATTTATGCACTGTGCTAAGAGAGTTTGTATGCTGCAAATCAGTGAATATTCCTTTAGTTGATGTGAGTCTTATGAACCTTCAAATATAGTTGTTACTAAAAGAATTTTTAAAGGAGTAAATCTTGTTAACTGAATAGAATTCATTTCCTACAGTAACTTAAACCTTTATGAATGGCTAGAGTTCAAATGAGGGATGTAATAGAAAATGCTCCAAGCAAGTGTTTAAAACGTGGTGGTGTTCTCCTTCTGTGCGACGTTTCTTTTTGACTTTCATATGTACGACAGCTGCTGCAGACGACAGATGTTACCGATACGCGGACTGCGCGAGCTGCACTGCCAACACAAACGGGTGCCAGTGGTGTGACGACAAGAAGTGCATTTCAGCAAATAGTAACTGTAGCATGGTGAGTCTTCGCGAACCTATCATCATGTTATTCATACTGTTTCTTTTCTAGCTAAACCAGAGGCCTGTTGCAGTGAATGAAAGGGGTGTAGTAGACTAATAGTAGCTTGTTTTGAACAGAAACATAAACGTGTTTGGCTTTTGCAGTAAAAATGTTGCAGAGGGCACAGTTGAACTGCAGTAAAGATAATCTATTCCAGGGAAAAAAATTAATGTATCCTTTAGGATTGCGTTACCCGCTGTATATCTCTCAGGACAAATACTGTTTTCTCCTAATTAATGACGTTTGGAATGCCCCAGAGTCATTAGCTTGGATTTTGTGCATATGTGGTGTACAGTATGCAGGCAGAAACTGTCAAATCCCATGGAGGGTGGCTGTTTTTGTTTTGTTTTTTTTGTTTTTTTCCCCTCTTTCAAACAGGACCAGGTCTTGTTAGTCTTGGTATTGTGATCACTGGTCATCTTGGTATTGTGATCACTGGTCATCTTGGTATTGTGATCACTGGTCATTATAGAAATGTCTTTCTTTAAGTCGTGGAGTTACTTGTCATCTCATTAGAGGAGTATGAGCCTCTATCACCATGAGATTAACTGGCTTATGATAACTTGGTAAGATTGTTCTGATCTTTGTAAATGCAAGCAATAAGAACATATAGATTCATACAAGTTTATATTTTTCTGATTTTAATATTGCTTAGTGCTGTGTTTTATACTTTACGTTATTGTCCACCAGCTGCTGCATCTATTGCCTGTTCATTTGATTTTTGACAATCTTATCATAGTATTTTAGATTTATAAATTTTGCCTCCTGATATTTTTCAGCCAACTCCAGACACCTGGCTGTACTCGAGTTCCAAATCCTTTCTTTACACACATTCATTAGTAGAAGTAGCTTGCTCTCTGGTTTGAAGTTGATGCAAACCAATCTTGTTCTCTAGACAGACAAATTAAGGTGTGATTTGGATTGACTCTGGCTCAAATCGTGCCCATTCAGAGTGAGCACAGTTAGCTCTAATCACTGACATTCGTAGACAGTCACTGCTAATAAAAGCAATGCAGACACAAATTCATCAGCAGCCATGTTATAAGTCTGTCAGAGGGATTTCACATTCCAGGCACTAATCGTTAGTTTCCTTTGTGATCTTCAAGGGCTCTTCTTTTCCTAACACATTGTACTGTATTAGGTGCCAATTTTCTAGCTGTGGTTTTCAACTCTTAAGCAACGAACAGTTGCTAAGAAGCAGGCAGTCTTCATCCCTAATAAATGTGGAGCACTGGGTATTTTAGCACAAGCTTCTTAGTTCAGTATCCTTTGACAACCTTTCATGACCAAGATGGTCAGCTTAATTAGCAACTGATGCAGCAGTCTTCTCTCTATCATTTCCAGCCTTTTATTCAGGGTTTGAAGTGGATAGCAAAGGCTGTTAGTCGAGTTAATAAAGAATGGGATAGTGAAAATTCGTCAAAATGATTTCTGAAAAGAGCTGCTATCATAAGTATATATTATAAGGTGGCTACTGCAAAATTAGTGTACTGGCTGGGAGATGATGGAGGCAGGATTTTGCAGCTATTGACGTAAACCCACCAAAATAGCATCAACAGAATGGCACCATGTGGAGAAAAGGAATGGATCAGGTTGATTATCCATTTTCATAGACTGCTACTTCTGGACTACACCCACAAAGTGAAAATGTTTTGACAGTACTGTGATGGTAATGTAGGATAACAAGCTGTAGACTCAGAAGCATCACAAGGAGAAAGCCCCATTTTTGCATCTGTACAAAGGCCTTGATTTATGACTTAAATCATAGAACATCCGGATGAGACAGACAATAATGTTTCAGAATCTGTTGCTTTTGCTTCATAGAAACTGACCCGCATACTAAAGATATGTTGGCAATCAGTTTGGCATTGGCCTCGTGGTCTGGATGTTTGCAAAGCAGTGACTGTTCTGCTGATTGGAAGGGCTGTAAAATACAGAAATTTCCCTGAAACAATTCTGTTTGCACAGATGGACTTCATAAGTAGTACTAATGCATTGATGATACAGATATACCTGCCTATGCCCACCATCTGATGTGGGTCAGCACATTAACAGGACACTGCATTACCCTATTGTGCAGACTCGTGGATCATCAAGGTATGTATCATACTCATATCTGATGTAATTGCAAGCAGAGGCTTGCAATGCCAGGTCATTCTGGAGGTCTGGCTTATTTCAGCACTAGCAAGCTGGTTTGTTTTCCTCTCATAAAAACTCACGTAAGTGGGATACTTCTGTATACTGTGGTTTTAGTTGACCCCATCATATCTGATGCAAATGTTGAGAGGTGAATGCTTGTCTTGTCTTGCCCAACTGGGAAACAGTTTACTTAAAACACGTGGAGTGGTTGAAGATGGTACTGAAATTCGCCTGCAGAGTATATTGAACAGCATGCTTGCAGTAGTGCCTTGTTGACTGTGTTTTACCATCAAATATATCTGCTAGAGATTTTGTCTATTGTAATAAGGATTTTGAAGGTTGCCTTGAGAAATTACACCATTGAAATTCCCCAGACTGCTTACAATGATTTTACTTAACACACTGAGGTTATTTCATAATAAAATGTAGTGCATATTTGTAAAATAAAGTTATTTAATTTTTATCTTTGAGATTGGATGCTAAAAAATAGTAAGTTCACCTACTCCTCTTTTTATTTTTATTTTTTTCAAAAAATGAGCAAATACAGGTATTGGTCTGCCATAGGAGCAAGTACAATTATAATGCTGTCATTAAAACTGTCCTATGCCAAGTACAGACTTTATGAAATATGACATACTAATATCTGTGTAGCTTCCTCTTTCAAGCTCTTTCATGGAGCCACTTGCATCTAGTCCAGTTTACAGCTTTGAAGCATAGCATACTGTATAAGACTGTCACAAAGAAGGAAGTGACATCATTGATGTACCTATTCTTTTTCTCCCATTTGTTGGATGTCTGCATCAAAGATGGAAATTTTGGAATATTTTGACTTGTCTATGTTTATCTTATACATGGACTAAACTATGACAGTCGCTCTATCACCTGACGACCCCTCACCAGCCAGGCAGGGGAATCGGGGAAAGGAGAGCAGACCCGTGGGTTGAAGTGAAAACAGATTTAGTGAAACAGCACTGATACCAACAGGTGTACAGGGTTACACTCAGCCAAATGAATATGCTGCAGTCACAATCAACAGGAGAGCAGGGAGAAGCTGGACCAGCAGGAACCCCACAGGATCTCCCTCTCCTCAGCAAACCTTCCCCCTTTACAATGACCATGACATTACGGGATGGGCTACCCCTGTAGCTGACTCAGGTCAGCTGCCCTGGCTGACTCAAGCTGCTAACAGCCTGCCCAGCGTGGCTGGGCTGGGATTCTATCACAGCTAAACCAGGACACTTGTGAAACCAAATAGTGCTGCGTATCCCTCTAAGCCCTGTGTATCCCTCTTTCTTCTGAAATTGGGAGAAACAGCTTTCTGTCATGCTCATATCTGCCTTTTCTCCTTAGTTTCTCTGTCTTGTCTTATATATTCCTTCCTTTTGCTTATTCAAAAAAAGTTCTGTGTCCTTGTTGTAGTATATTTCTGATTTTTGTGTAGTAGATTGTATTGTAAGTCTATTACATTGATCTTACACTTTGACACTTTCATTTGTACTCTCTATTATCTTAAGCATCTTCCTGGTCCTCACTGATTCTGATGAATTTTGCCTATTTCTTGATAAAGGAAAACCACAGGATCTTGATCTGCTTAATATGTTTATGAAACTGTGATCACTTTGTACATCTGCACATAAAAAGCATGTCCTGTGAGAATGATACTCTTGCTGATTGTGGTGTTCAGAAAAATTACTATATTTATATTTTGTAATGGATGTATACTGAGCAAAGCTGTTAATTTTAGAATTCTGCCTTCCAGTTTTTACAAGAAAAATAAAGGCTTTGGGGGAGAGATGAATTTTGCTTTAAATTGCTGCACCTTTGCAAGGTCCTGTTTTTCTTGACGTAGTAGCATGGAACAGTAAGCAAAGAATTCCTCTGCTCCTCAGGGGTGAGCCATTCTTTGTGTACCTTGTGACAAATAAAATAGTAAATGACAATGACTAAAGAGGGCTGACCAGTTGCATAAAAAGGCAAAGTTTCCTTTACTGAGGAAGACCAGAGAGAGCCTGAATTTTGGAGTAAAAAAAAATTTACTTTATCAATTGCTTTTTTTGCTTTTCATAAATGGGGCAAAATATTGGTTGATAAAGTGGCAGAGAACCTTAATATATTAAGAGAGTAATCATTTTTAATGATAGCAATATATCAAGTCTGTATTATGGCCATAAAGCTGTTTTATTTTGGTAGGCACATGTAGAAAAGTGTGATTGTGTTGAAGCTCTGTTGAAAGTACTGGGATGTCTCCTGCTTGCCAGCCGCCTTTGAGCAACGTGCTTGAGAAAGAGGAGAGCGAGCTGGGTTTAGACATGTACCATGCCATTTATATTTGTGATTGGCTCAAGTGCTGATAGACTTACAGGCTGAAAAACGTAAAAATACTTATGTGCACATGTAGGTTGTCACTGGACAACATGTTGGCTTCTTTTTGATATCTATATTATTAAAAATTTTGGAGATTTTCCCCTCTTCTGTCTTTTTTTAACCTTTTTTTTTTTAACCCACCTGTTTGTCTCCTCCCTCAGCTTGTTCTTTGGGAAACTACGGGAAATGCTAGCACTAGTTATCAAAACAAATTGTTTTTTACTCTTTATATCCTCAAAATAACTATTCCCATTTCCTGGCTCTACACCAAACTCCACTTCAGATCCGAACAGCAGTCCTGAAAGGCAAGCCTCAGGAATTAACAAGAAATGGCTTCCTTCTCCTCTTTGTCATCTTACAACAGTAAGAGGACTCCTCTACAGTAAAAATTGAAGTAATTGCTGCAGATAGGGTAGCTGTGATAATTTGCTCCACTGGTTATCTACAATGCTGGCCTATAATTCTTCAGTTTATAGAAATGTTAACTGCCCATGCTAGAAGTTTGCAAATAAAGTAACTTACTCCAATATTACTTAAGGAAAGTACTTTGAAGGCTTGAAATGTGGCAGGAATATAGTACTAAACTTTACTTGAAAAATGCTGATTGAGAGAAAATATTTTCAAAAACACACAAGTGCTTGCAAAATTGAAAAAAAAACAAACCCCACTTTCCGTATCAAATTTCAGCTCTTATTCTGAATCTTCACATTAAGCTTGCTAAAATACCTACTCTTTTACTGTAACAAGCAGGAGACGTAGGGGAGGGCAGAATATACTGAGAACACTTAGCTGGGATCAAGAGCACCAAGCAGTAGCACATGAATGTGGTGCTGTTGTCACAGGTTAGGGCTGGGCTGGCCACTAACAAATGACAGATGTTCTCTATTGACCTCTCTTCCTCCCCAGAAGGGGAAGGGAGAGAGAATAAGGGAGAGAGGCTTATGGATTGGAAAAGAAAACTAAACCAGCTTTAATGAAACAATAACAATAATAAGAAAAGATAACTAATATTAATAAGAAAATAATAAAATATATACAAATATACATGAAACCAATACTGAAGCCAACTCCCCTGATGACAATACGTCACCACTAATGCTGCAGGGCTGGCACTGGGGCAGTCCCAGGCTGGACTCGGCAGCAAAGAGGGTGCAGGAGCTGGATTCAGGAATGCACGGATTGGGATCACCGAAGGATGGACGCAGTCCTCCTTGGATGTTGGCCATCGAAGAAGAACAACTTTACCCTTGTGATCCCTCAGCTTTATACTGGGTATGATGTGTATGGGATGGAATACTCTGTTAGTCACTTTTGGGTCACCTGTCTGCTTCGCTCCTCCCTTCAGATGCGACCTTTCAGTTCACTCTGACCCTTTTTCACTTCTGGCACCTCAACATGGGATACAGAATTTAGCAGCACCCTTGGGTGCTTACAGGAGCAAGTGTAAGCGAGAGCCTTTCTGCATACCCTTCCTTGCTATTAACTATAAACATCAAGCCTTGTCATTGCTAGAAGCAGTCACTGTCTGGAAAAACATGCTGCTGTTTTTCAGAAAGTACAATTACTTGGAAGAGACTTAACTGAAAACAAAAATCACTGAACAGAATTATTTCTGTTTTAGCTCAAACTAGGACAACTGTTTTCATCAGAGTATGGTCTCTGACGTGTCTTTTCAAGTGGAGTGTATGTGATTTTCTTATTTGGACAGACTGTGATGGGAAGAGGCACAGATGAAGTATTCCTGCATCCAGTCTGCATTGAGGTTTTGAAAGCCTCCTTGCTTTCAAAAGCTACAAGGGGGTGGTTGTTCCTTCTGTAACTGTGACCAACCACACCCTTATCTCCAGTAGCAGTCTCTGAATATCTTGTGTGTCAGTCTCCATCCGAGCAATACCATAAAGCCCCAGTTGATGTAAGTAGCCTAAATTCAGCCCAAACTGGTATGTGATTTAAAAGTACTTTATACTTGAGTGTGGAAACACAAACTAAACGTTGTAGAACCCATGAAAGGTATGATAAAGAGCCGAGGTATACAGGGTACTAGAGGATGCTTCAAAGAGAACTGTAGTCCTACATTTGTTAACTGTTTTTACACAGTGCCTTAAAGACAAGAATCATTGTATTTTTGTAGTACTTGCACTATTTCCAGAGTTAACATCCTCTTTCACGGTGGGAGCCCTTTGATGCTGCACTAATACTAATAATAATAATCACAGCAGTCTGTCTGCATCTGAGGAATTAAAAGAATAGTCAATGGGAAATGTATACACTAGTAGAATGAATTATGAATAGAATCAAATTTATCTTGGAGGAAAAAAAGATGATTTAAGACTAAGGAGTACCCAATAGTAATATTTGGGTGTAGCTTCAGAGAAATAATAGAAAATAAATTAGATTAATAGTTTACAGTTAGACTAGGCAAACAAGACAAGATTATACTGTTATCCTGAAAAAATCCAGGAGGAGGAAGATAGATATGTTATTTAATAGCAATTTCCGAAATTCTAAGATAAACTACTGTAATATTTTCGTTCTACAGTAGATATTCAGAAAATCACTCCAGTTGTAAGTCTGTCTGTGTACCACCACATCAAGATCAGTACTGAAAAAATCTAAGTAAATCAGACATAAGTAGGAAGCTTTATACATAACATGATTTACTCACTTTGGTGTGTAAACATTATAAATATCCTACAGTAATATAGAACTTCAGTAAAAATGGGCTGTCATATTTCTGAATTTCATTGGGTTTGGTAGCTTAAGTTATAACCTTAATATTGTGTTAATATGAATTACCTATTGGATTCACATCTACATTGAACTAATGAGATTTTCAGGCAAGCAATGTTTAAATTGGATTTAAGGGAAATAAGTACTGGGAATAAGGGAATACAACAGAGAACATTATTGCAGAATAGTCACTAGTACTTTGAATTTTATTTAAAACATGAAATAAGCAGTGCAGAACAAGCTTCCTGATTAGAAAGTAATAGAACAAATACCAGTTTAGTTGGAAAATTGTAATTGTATGTAATGTCACTAAAGAGTATGTGATTTTCAAAGCCAATCTGAATACTTCAGGATTTTGACTGTCATCATGAGGTGTTAAAAGTGAGTATTAGTTGAGGTATTGTAAATGAGCAGATGGTGGTTACTTGTGCTCTAAAATTCATTTTAAAGCATCTCTTAGGCCTTTTTGTGAATATGCTTCACAACTGGGTGAAACCAAATGTGGGTTTGTACCAGAGGTTTTTTGTGCTTTATTAATCGCGTGCGTTTATTGGCCTAGATAGACATTCTGCTACTTTACGGCATTGCCTTTGGCTCTGTTTCATATTGTGCTGTAGATGCCTTCTCCTAGAACTGCTTCTCTCGTTCTTTTTGCTTCACAATAGCCGTTCTTACAGTCCAGAAAAAGAGTGAGTACTTTTTAAAATAAGCTCACTGATGGGCATCTGATCCAATAAAGTCAGCAAACAAATCCCTAAACAGCAGTGGTGTTCAGCACAGGAGTGAAGCTGATCCTGTGTGAGATTGGAAATTCATTTTAACAGTTCTATTATTTCAGGACTTTAAAAAAAAAAATTAAAAAAAAGGTGTCTGGTTGTCTTCCCTCCTGACTGCAGTAGTTTGATGCCCCATCAGTGTCATCGTTCCAGTACCCACAATTGTGTAGTTTATTGTCATATTACCACTTTACATGTGCTTTATCGTACTCTAGGAGACATTAGAAAAGAAAGCAACCAAAATTGTGGTGTAAACCATACGTATACTAAGTGCAGTCCTTAAAAAAAAGGTGTCTGGTTGTCTTCCCTCCTGACTGCAGTAGTTTGATGCCCCATCAGTGTCATCGTTCCAGTACCCACAATTGTGTAGTTTATTGTCATATTACCACTTTACATGTGCTTTATCGTACTCTAGGAGACATTAGAAAAGAAAGCAACCAAAATTGTGGTGTAAACCATACGTATACTAAGTGCAGTCCATTTTTGATACTATGCATGAATTAATCTTTTGTTGTTAGAGAGAGACAAAGGTTGTTAGGGTTGGACAAGATGACCTCTAGAGGTCCCTTCCAACCTCAACCATTTTGTAGTTCTGTGAGTATAAAGCTGTCTTGAAATAGGACTTATTTTTACATATTATCTTGAAAGTAAGTTAGTAGAGACAACCTTATGGATAAGCCAGTGAATTGACTGAGGATTTGGGGCAATTTATTAAATAAAATATCAATATTATATCTCAGTTAAAAGTACTGTGCAGAGGAGAAAAAAGGTTTGTGTTCAAAATACCTAACTTGGAAAGGATGACCTCAGTTTTCAGGAAAAACCCACCTCATCAAACCCGACAAAAAACCCAAGTAAAAATTCCTTCTGTGTTTACTCCTTTTCTTTTATACTAAAGTACCAAAGGAATAATGTTATTCCTGGTTTTATGTCACTGTTTGACAAAATAGCTTCCTGTAGATTTTGTAAATTTTATACTAGCTATGGTGCATACAGGTCTGCAGTTTAATCTTTGAAAAAGCGTGACTCAAATTTTGGACAAATCTTTCTTGTGTTTTGTGACTACTGGTCCATAGCTCCTATTTCTGTTTCATTTAATCCAGATTAAGGAAGTAGAGCATATTCTTGCACCTTCAGTCAATGATGTGTAATAATTTTACACCTGTATCTTGTGCCATTTTTATATTCTGTTTGATTATTTTGCTTGTTTAAGCTGCATAGGATGAAATAATTTAGTGAGAGCATAATCTTAACTATCTAAGAAACAGATTTATTTTGGTTATTGAAGCTCTTCCTGGGCTCTGTTTGACCCAAAAGTCAGTTGTTTAGGAGAGGTGAGGTGTTTTGTGCTCTAGAGAAGCATTTTGTTCTCTCTGCACCTGAGAGGGGAATCTAGACAAAGAGCTTAACTTCAACCTAGCTTTTGGGTGGCTGGGTTTTCTGGGAGGGATCCACCTGCTGTGTATTTCAGTTTTGACTTGTGATTTATTGGTAGTTTGACTTGTCTGTTTTATTTTTATAGTCGGTTAAAAACTACACCAAATGTCACGTGAGGAACGAACAGATCTGCAATAAACTGACCAGCTGCAAAAGCTGCTCGCTACACCTGAACTGCCAGTGGGACCAGCGGCAGCAGGAGTGCCAGGCCCTACCTGGTAAGGGCTGTGGGGCGGCGACGCTACTTGTTGTCGTTGATTTCAAAACTGAGTCAATCTCCTCCATTGTTGCCAAAGAATACTTGTTCAATGGGTAGACCTGGATTTATTTTACTTGTGCTGACTCTCCCTGCCTGGCTGTGCCTTTACAGGTGAACACAGATGCAGTTACATCGCTGATTGGTATATCAGTGCTGCCTTTACTCTTATTAGGAGAGGTAATGATATTTACGAAGGCATAATGACATGTACCTCTGCACAAGCCAGTGACGAGTTCTAGCCTGTGGGGATCACTGAGAACAGACCTGAACTGCCACAGAGTCCTTCGCTGTTGTACATTCGCTGACACTGTTACTTTTGCTAGCTGGGGCTTTATCTTATAAATTATACTTCAATTATACTTCAGTTTCCCTGTGCAGATAAGGCCTAAGATCTAGTTTCTTGATTGTCTAATGTTGGTAATACTATCAAAACAGTGAATATTAAAATGCTAATATAAAATATTCTCAGAAGGTGATTGTTAACATTCTGAAATAATATGTATTTTTTAATTGATTTTCATAACTGTATATATGCAGTTAGATATCAGTACCTTTTCCATTTGATCTTTATGTCCAGATGAAGTTAATAAACACAGTTTTTTTTCTCCACAAAGATTATTCATTATTCTGTGCAGCTTAAAACTACATTTACGTAATCTTTGTAAAGATTAACTGTAAGAGTTGCTCTGAATTACTCATCCTTTAATAGTTTTCTGAGTCTGAGTAATGCTGAAATGTGTTGAAGAGGAAATATTTTCCAAGGTGTTATCTGAATTTCCTATCATTCTGATTGCATTTGTAATTAGGTCCTTAATTCTAGGACAGTTGTTTTCAGATTTTGAAATTTACGTAACATTTAGGCAAAGTCATTGATTAATTATGTACATAGTCTAATATTGAATATTTAATTGTGCTCAAATCTGGATACAGGGAAGAAATAGCGTCATAACGATATTGTTATGCTGAAGCTTAGCATATACCTTATAAATATTTTATAAGTTGTTAAAAGTTTCTGTTCTAAAAATACGCTATTCAATATGATACTACTTGCTGTTGTAGAATTTATATGATGTGAAAAGGGAAGTTGAGTGTGGGATGTATTTTGAATTATGATCTCAGGAAGTTAAAATTCAGACTCCCTTAGGTTTTTTAAAAGTTTGGGTTTTGTTTTTTTTTTTTTTCAAATGAGCCTTAATTGTGTGCTTTTTCCACTAGCTCATCTGTGTGGGGAAGGATGGAGTCATATTGGAGATGCCTGCCTTCGCATAAATTCTAGTCGTGAAAACTATGACAATGCCAAGCTGTATTGCTACAATTTAAGTGGGAATCTTGCCTCATTAACGACCTCAAAAGAAGTGGAATTTGTTCTGGATGAAATACAGAAGTACACACTTCAGGTAACTTGAGTAACTGTAATTGATGCTCATGTGAATTAAATTTGCTCTAAGAAATCTATTTTAGGAATTTGTCTAAAGAAAAGAAAGTTTATGCCTTCGAAGAAATGTAGTGTGATGCTGAAGATTAGTATAAGTGGTGTGTAGGTTATTAAGGAAATCTCATGTTTAAAGCTAACGACACAGCAGTTCCCAAGTGTTTCTTCTTACTAGATTTCACTGGTACAGGTTAGTGCTTGTTTTCAAGACGTGACTCAAGAATGGCTGGAACACATGTGGGAAATCCCAGCCCTTTTCAATACACTGTGGCAGCAAAAAACAAGATAATATAATTTTCAGTATAACAGAGAAAAAAATCCTGACTTTTACATCCGTATCCGTAAAACTGCTCGCAGAATTCTTTTTGGGTGGTGCATAGCTAGGCTGCAAGCAGTTGAGAACAGGAAGTACTCAGGATGTATACTTCTCCAAAAAAACCTGCTTCCCTATATAACTGGTATGTGGGATCAGAGGGTCACAGAGAAGCTGTACTAGTATGTGAAGCATGTGGAAATTCCCTGCACAGCAGCACCGCAATGAGCCATGAGCTAATTAACTTTGTGATAATGGTGGGGAAGGGAGAGGGCTGAAAGCTCTTATGTGCCTTTGGCAACTACAGGAAGCTGCCATCAGAATATTCCTTAGGGAAGTGCTCCATATTAATTTACTGTGGGACAAGAGAAGGGAAGTTGAAGATTAATTACCTGTCTACAGGTGGTCAGGTTCATTTTTTTAGCAGTTAAATGTTCAAATGCTGATTGCTGTGTTTAAACTGTTGGAAAGCCTACCCACATCATTGGTACATGTGTATGAAATGTATGTATGCTCAAAAGATGTCAAACCCAACAGTATACATGCAGATGAGATGTCTTAGCAGAATAAGATTCCATCACAAGAAAATCAGTTCATTTTAGCAAAGGATATTTTTTAAAGTGTATATTTTGGTTTGTAGAACACGCAGCATTTCTTTGTCTGCATAAAAACCCCTATTTTTTAAGTACCTTAGGATTTTAGAATTACAGGAAAATGAAAGATATTTATGAACAATAATTAAAGGTATATCAAGCTGGTATGTGATTTGTGACGTTGTTATGTTGCAGATTGAGATGCGTACAAAGGAAATGGCAGTTAAGGGTTGCCTTTGTTATACTAAATCTGAATGTAAGAGTTTAGGGATGTATACTGTGAATCAAAATATTCTATAATATCCCTTTTAGTGTTCCACTTCAAGAAGGACGTGCAAATGTAGGTTATGTACTTATGTTTTTTGGGTTTATTTCCCAATAAATGTAGGACCTGGATAACGCAAAATTTTTTTACTAAAGACACGTATTTTCTATTATTTGCTAATAAAGGAGAGAAAGAAGTAATTCTTCTATGTCAGAAGATCTCCCTTGATACTGTACTTACTGTAGCCTTAAAACACATTCTCTATGCCCACTCTTTGAGATGAGATAATGTTGAAAATGTAATTGAAACCAAAAAAACAAAATCGGAAACAGCAACGATTTCTCTAGTTATTTATTTTGCTGACCCCCTCCCTGATTCCTATTAAAATACTGCACAGGAGGCCTTCAAATCTAATAGTGTGTGATAGACTCTTGATATGACTGATATTACCTGACTGGCTTGAGGTGTAGATGAGAAATAGCTTTTTTGTTTGGAAGCTAGATTTTTCTTACGTTTCAGGGCTTAGAACTTCTACAAGGTGACACCCTGCTGAGCGTATCTTTATTTAAATGAAGTATGTCCTGAGACAATGTGGTGATGTAGATTTGAGATACCTCACATCCAGTTTATGCAATTGTAGACAAACGTACGTGCTTGAAAAGTCTATCTTGGGTTAAATGATCGTTTAGTTTTCAGACTCTCTAATGAAATGCTACCATGACTTATCCTGCTGTTTTCAGTGACATTGAGAAAAACAAAATTTTTTTTTTTTCATTCGTATCTGTCTGTCCAATTACATTTATTCTATGTGAGACAGCCTAAATGTCTTATCAGGTGTGACAGAAGCTCTCTGAAACGTCTTGATTTTCTTTTGTCTGCCTTTTCCACGCAAACTGCAATCATAGTGATTTAAGGAGTGAGATTTCATTTTAGATGGCTTGTTTTTGTAACAGGTGGTGATGTGGGTCTGTGAGTGAGAGCAACTGTAAGGTGAACACTATGCCTTTGATCTGTATTATCTATGGTGAAATTTGACTTGTGTGGTTAATATCAAAGGCTTTAAAATCTTTTGCCTATGTGAAACAAAAGCTTTCAGTATTAGTGAATGTGTCAGAGCAACATTTGGAAATAATAATATGGTTCTGATTTTAGCTCTGCTCTATTTGATATTTTTATATTGAGAAAAGACAAACAACTTTGGTAACGGTTGTGTATTTTACAAACTGTTAAAATAGTGTTAGTAAATACTACAGCCTGGAAGAACTTCTGGAAGAATTCTGTATTGTTCATAGAAACAATGTGGGATTTTGTTTTCTAGTACACAAAGTACTTGTTCTGGAACAAATTTAGGACAGTTTCTTCATCATGTTTAGAATAATACAAAACATTGATGCTTTGGTAAGATTCAGAGGGAGGAGGCTGCTATTGTCTCCACACCCTGTCCTGACCTCATTGTGTGTCAATTATTTCTCTAAATTCCAATACTAAATTGGAAATCAATAGATTGCCTCCTTGTAAAGGGTAAGGAGAAGGTTCATTTAGTACTAAAAAGAGAGAGTCCAAACAAAGACCTTTGTAGTCTGAAGTCAAAATATTGTTGAATTTGCAGATGTATTTTAAAACTGTCACCAATAATTTAAAGTCTAATTTGTATTTTTCATTAAAAATAAGTGAAGTTCTTAAAGAGAATGCAAAAGCAAACACAATGGATAGACTGCAGATTCCTGCACTAAAGCAAAATGACTTTGTATTTTTTCTTATATACTGTTTTATTGACCTAGTAAGCAAAATATTATGGAAGATTCAAATTTTCTGCAAAGAAGATTAAACAGCAATATGAGGTTAATTAATTGTTCCTGCTAATATTCAAATGCTGTATATTCATTTAAAAGTGCAATTAGTTCTCTTGGGAGTTTGCTTACAACTGTGGGATTTAACTAAAAATAATAATTTTCTTGTTAGCATGCAATAAATTCTGAGAAGGTTTAGTTTTGGTGTAGTAAGCGTAAACAAAGATGAGAACAGTTTTAAACAATGCCTTTCATCATATAAAATGTTGGCAACTTTTCCTTTAACTCGCTGTTCTCAGGGCTAAGCATCCTTTATAAATTATGCTTGAGTGTAGGTTGCAGTTAATTAGTGAGCTTTGCATGGCAATGTTATTCCTTGTTATCTCAAAGTATTCTCAGAGGGCTGTATGTTTTTGTGGTTTTATCATACATTTGGTTATAGTGAAGCTGACATCTACTTTTTTCTGAGTCTCTTTACTACAGTTTCTAGTAGTCTCAATTTACTGTTGTGATTTTGAAAGTCTAATAAATTATTTCAGCATTTTGTCTCTGTATTAGAGTTGTTATATTGGCTGTCCATTAGTTCACCTCTGGTTTAACTGTATTCCTGTGTTCAGGAAGTGGGGAACTCCACTCACTGTGGATGCCTGAGAAGGGAACCTGAATTTCCAAAAAAATTGTCCGCTATAAAGAAGGAAAATCAGACCAAAGTCCCACTGGAATGCTAGCTATGATCTCTGTAGATGGAAATTGTGGAAGTGGTAGCCTTTTCAGTTTGTCAGATTTTACGTGTATTTTTTTAACCAACACCACAACAGCAAAATTTGAAAAGTGTAGGAGAATTAAGTGTTCTTATGATGTAATGCATGGCTTGCTACTAATTACATCTAGATTTCATCATTTATGTCTAATAGATACTGAGACACTTAAAACCCATGAAGCTTGCTTTCTCTGCTTATAACGTGTCATTCACTGGGTAAATAATTACAGAATATGAAATCTGCAGGTATCTAGCATAGTTAGAATCGATGCATAGTGAAAGAGCAGTAGCCAAGCAGTGAGGCAGTAAATAGGATGGATGGTTTCTTTTCATATAAGCTCTTATTTTCAATAACCATTTTTTTTTGTTCATAATGATGCAGAAAAGAGGGAAACTAAATGTGAGCCCTTCTCAAAACTGTGAATGATGTGGAAATGCGAGCACTAAGAGGCCACTGTATTTTCAAAGTTTAATTGTATGTTTCTTCCTAAAGCAACTATTTTCCTAGAAATCAAGGAGTTCAAACGATTCTTGAAAAGTTTGTTGAAGTTTGATAATAGCACTGTGATGCACACATTAGAAAATGAGTCAGAAGTGTATAATACGCTTCCAGGACAATTTAAGATCCAAAATGAAAGGAATTTAAATAAAGGTGGGGGTAGATTTCTGAAAGACACACATAATTCCTCAGCAATTTGCATAATTAAGAAACGGAGTCGAATTTTGAGCCTCAGTAGTAGTTGGCTATTCAGTAAAGGTAGACATCCTCCCTTCACTCATCTGCAAATTATTCAGCCTTCATTAAATTAGTGCTGAGGCAGTAGTAATGCCTGAAAAATGTCATGACTATAAATGATCACATTCACTGTAGATCTCAAAGAAACTTAGTCTGACATATTTTCTGAGTAAACAGTAGATTTAACATGAAATATCTGCTCTTTAGTTAAGGTTACACAATTTTCCTTTCTAACATAGTTCCATAGTTACTACTTAAAAGAAAATCAAAATTGGGTGGTTTAGAATAAGAGCAGCACATTTTTGAGGTTATTAGTGATCAGTGTTTAATAAATTCCTGTAATGGCTAAAAACTTGCATTATATTCAATTAAATAGGACTGTTGATGTGAGTACGGAATGATGTACATGGCTTCTAAGATGGGCTGTGAGTTCTAAGAACTGGCCTAGAAAGAAACAGATGAGAGAAGAAACACATTCTAGAGAATCGTTCTAGATTTTAGTAGTCTA